CTCAATGTCTCAGCTGACTGAAATAAGCCTTGGGAAATCCCCTCTAACTGCATGAATGGCTTCTTGTGCTCTCAGATGGAAGCTTTTTAGCTGTTGGCTCTCATGACAACTTCATCTACATCTACAATGTGACGGAGAGCGGCCGGCGCTACATCCGCTCGGGGAAATGTAATGTGAGTTCAATATCAAATCCATGTTCCTTGAATATTCTCTTTTCCTCAAGTGCTTTTGTCTAATTTAAGATATAAGTCTGGTGAGTCTTTTTTTTCTTTTCGAGAACAAATCTTATGTGCAGACCCACACAAAAAATGGATTCACCTACTAACAAGCATGTATGTGTACCAAAAGCCTGGCATATCTTCTTCCAGTGTGACATTCAAAAAAGATTCAAAACACAAAGGAGTCTCACTGTTCACAATGTTCCTTTATTATCACAAACACACACTGAGGTTTCATTTGAATCAGTCCCAGATACACTGTCCTGCAGCAACAAACACTCGCCACAGCATCAAATGTGTATTCATGCGCCGCTGAAACTAGTCCCCAACAAATACACTATTTCCTCCTGTTTGAGGGACGTTTGCTAAAAGCTACTCTCACAAGCGTATGTAGGAAATGAATTACATAGGCTTTAAACAAATTAAACTCTAGATCAATGAGGTGTTCTAAAGCTTTATGTCTGAGACTCAACATGTATACAAGACTTCAAAAATCTGACCGACTCTGAATGAAATGAGAGACCTGAACCTGACCCAGAAACTCAGCTGATGGGCACGGCCCGAGTCACAATGGGAAACAGAGACACATTAAAAAAGGACAGTTTATTTCAGATCTGAATCTTAAAACAGGCAATCAGATGACAAAATGTAATGTATACTCGTATTCTAACCGATATTACCTCACTAGCACTCACTTCTTCCCCAGAGAATTTGGAAATGATTTCCAGGTGGTCTAACACATTTTTGGATGGTGCTCCTCATTGAAAATAAGAAAAGAATAGAATAAAACCATCCTTCCCCTTAACTCTCACAGTTGAGTTATAGAGCATTATGAGTAACTGCCTCTGTTTTTTTTGTCCAATCAGGGTCACTCCAGCTTCATAACTCACCTGGATTGGTCCAAAGATGGAAAGTACATTATGTCTAATTCAGGCGACTACGAGATCCTTTACTGTAAGTGAACAGGTTTACATATCTAAATCCTGAGACGGCGTGCTGATAGTGTTCTGACTGTAATATCATGTGTTGTGACAGGGGACATCGCAGCCGGCTGTAAACTGTTGAGGAATCGCTTCGAGAGCAAAGACAGAAAATGGGCCTCCTACACCTGTGTGCTGGGCTTCCATGTGATGGGTGAGATACTCCTCTGCTTCCTGTGTTGTGACTGTTTGAAGTTTAGATGTGTTGACGGTGTTGGCGTTGCAGGTGTGTGGCTGGAGGGCTCTGACGGCACGGACATCAACGCTCTGTGCCGCTCTCACAGTGAGAGGATGGTGGCTGTGGCCGACGACTTCTGTAAGGTCCACCTCTTCCAGTACCCCTGCCCCAAACCCAAGGTACTATCACACAGCCGCTCTGTCTGCTTGTAGAGAACACATAAATACATTGTATTATAGGGCTGCGCACAGGGTTGGGAGGGTTACTTTAAAAATGTAATCCTTTACAATGATTAGTTACCTGTAAAAAATGTAATCAGTAACCTTATCTGAGCATCACAATATAAAAGTTGTCTAACCTGATTACTTGAAGTTACTTTCAGATTCCAATAATGTCAAATGCAAAAAAATACATTAGAAAATAAATAACAATGAGACGTTTTATACTAAAGTGTGTTATGTAAGACAACAGAACAATGTGACCTTAGTAATGAAGAAAACAAGATATTTAGGATAAAAGGTGTGTCCTCTTAAACTACAGAATATTCATTTATAAAGGTTTTAGTTTAATAGAATAATTAAAAGCAAACACAGGATTTAAAAAAGAAATGATACTTAAATTAAAGTAGCCTAAATTAAAACCAAAAAGAACATTCCGGCTGTACGTCTCCCTATAATATACTGATCTTTTATTTATTTTAAAATGAATTGTAACACTGTAATCCTGCTTGTTACCACCATTAGTTCTTTGTGTATGTAACTGTAAGGGAATACAGTTACCTTCTGTTGTATCCTTCCTGATTACGTAATCTATTACTCCACAAGCTCGGCTGCCAATACATCGATTTTATATATCAATATTGTGAAACAAATGTAGATATCATCCTACTGTAAATGTTGAATTATCTTAACTGTTGTCTTTTCGTGATTTTAAAGGCTGCATTACAAAAAGTGACGTCATTTTCTGAATTGACCAGACTAACAGCTTATTTTTGTTTGTCTATATCCACAATAAATTCACATTACTGATGATTTTGTATCAAAATGTTCATACCGTGAATATGTTGTAAATTGCTATATTTTTCCTGAAGTTTTACTAATAGCACAACAACACACATACCAAAAAACAATCATTCTCACTAATGCAAATAGTCACAATTAATATTATTTTAAAATGTCAGCAAGCTGAGGGTAAAGAATGTTTATTTCAGAAAACCACAGCCAGACTACAGCTGAAAACCTCTGTTATTTCTTTCCTCTCCAGGCACCGAGCCACAAGTACCGGGGCCACGGCAGCCACGTCACCAACGTGTGCTTCACCCACAACGATTCCCACCTCCTCTCCATGGGCGGGAAGGACACCTGCATCCTCCAGTGGAGGGTGACGGGGGTCGAGAGCAGGGAGAGACTGGCCTCGGTCTCGTCCACCTCCCCCTACACCAGCTCTCCGGAGCCCGGCACCAGCTAGGACGGCTATGGGCTGTTAACAGTGACGGACGGACGGGGTGTTTACACAGCCAGAGAGGCGTGAGAGTCAGCGGACAGCAGCCACACTCAGGGGCCTCCGCGGGGCCACAGCTGCCTCAGTTTCATACAGAACATGTAGAGCAGGGGTGTCCAAACTTCTTTCACTGAGGGCCACACGCAGAAAAATATACCAAGAGCTGAGAGGTGAGGTAATTGCCTCATAAGTTATAAGTGAGCAAAACCAATCAAATGTAGGTCAATTATTCTTATTAATTGAACATGCTTAGAGAAAAAAAATCAGCCTATATCACAGCTTTCTATTAATTATTACCATTTTGTTACAAAAAGGTTTGGCAGGTCTGAAGCCTCACATTGATCTCCCTGCACAGCCCTGTATTGAAGGGGGGACAATAAGGGAAAATATGAAGGGTATTTTTCAAGCTTGTTAGTCAAATAACTTATTGGGGCTGCTTTTCTATCAACTAAGATTTGTTAGAACAATTGATCAACTTTAAATGACTGAATTTATTGAGAAATTGGGCTAATTAACACATAAAAAGTGTGTTATATTTGTTTACAGATATTTAAGAAGTATCAGGTAGGGGCCATATTCCATTAGAATGAGCTGAGGGCCAATTAGAAATGGACCCAGGGCCACAGTTGGGCCCCGGGCTGTAGTTTGGACACCCCTGATGTAGAGGAATCCTCTCCAGGAGGAATGTTCACATCACATTTACACTCACTCCATAATCATGTAAATCCTTGTGAAACTGGACGGTGTGACTCCTCCCTGAACACAGAGTCTGTGGGGAGGATCATCACGTGTGTTATAGAACACGGCTTCTACGGTGACAAACACTTTGGTTTCAGTGAACATTCCTGCATTTTAGTCCATCTCATTTATCAAACTTACCAAAGTGCTGCATCGTTTCCTACACAATCGTGCCTTAAAGATGTTTGCATAATGATTTTACATATTTTGTAATATTTCAAGCAGTGTTTGGTTGACATCTCAGCTAAGCTAATATTGAAGACGCTTGCATAAACAGACTGTGACAAACACCATACCAATCCTGACTAATTCATATCTCTAACAGTAGATCAGTACACTTGACAAATGATTACTTAAGTACAGTTTTATATATTTAAGAGAACATTGGGAATACTGTGATGTTGTACCTGCCAAGCTCCCAATAAATAACTGAAGATTGGTGTGTATTGTCTGTGAGGAACCACTAGGGGGCAGTGCTGCTCCAGGAATCATGTGCTGCGTGTTCACAGAACCTGGCTGAACTCCACATGTACAGCAGGATCAGTTCAGATTCTACAAATCTTGTTGATAAAATACATTGTATAGAAGAAGAAAACAGGTAAACAAGACATTGGTCTCAAATCTCATGGTCAGAGGTAAATACCAACATCGTAAAGTAAAAAAATCATGAATGAATGGTTTTATAAAAAATGACATTTCACCCCAAAAAACGATTCAAGTCAAATGAATAGTATTGATACCGTCCAATTTAAAGTAAAAGAAGGGCCACTTTTTTTTTTAGCAGTATTAGGCTTTTAAAAAATGGCCTCTAAACATAAAACCAACAATCTGAGTGAGAAGCAACAATATCTCTTACAGCTCATACATATCAAAACTGCTCAATCATTGTGAAGTTGGTGATAAAACATTATAACTGTAATCCTCTAACATAACTCTTATGGTAATTAAGATTCTAACAATTCCCTTCTTCTTCGTCTTCTTTCGTGTAACGTCAGAGGTCCAACTCGGTGTCGCATGCACAAATGCCCGCATCTCTGGTCCTACGTCGAAGAGGCTGGCTTCCGAGGGTGGTCTATATAAAGGGCAGGTGGTTATTATATGTTCGGCAGTCTGTTCCCTTGATGCTATTTTTCTAAATAAGTTCCCAACTTAACTCTTTTTACTTTTGCTTGTGTAATATATTTAAATAGCCCTTAGGATTCCAATGACACTTTTTGACACTTAAACATTAAAAAAACTTTACACCTTAACTCCTGTGTGTTTATATTTCATATTATATAAAGAGTTTGTTTATCAAACCAGGGCCATTGAAAAAGTTAATTGTGATTCCGGAGAATCACGATAATCTCCGAAGATGACGATTTGAGCACGAGCGAAGGGGGCCAGTGAGTGTGTGTTTCTGTGTGTGTGCTGAACTGAGCGGAGGTGAAGAAGAGGAGGATGAAGCTGGGATCGGAGGATGGGAGGAAGAGTGGAGTAAGAGACAGGCTAGCTGTGTGTGAATGAGTGAGTGAGGAAGAGGAGAGGAAGGTCGTCGGAGGGACCAAAAACAAAGACTTGGATATTTTGGGGATAACCTCCGGAACGTTACTAACGGAAACTTTCAACTTTTTACCCGCCACATCTCGGCTTGTTGTGTCCGGAGCCGGCTTTGTTTCACGGCGGGGGAGTCTACGATAAATGAAGGAATAAAATAGATCCCCATCGACCTTTTTCTACCGGAGCGGGGAATACCCTGGGACTGCTTTTGATAAAGGTTACGATAGAATGGCGGCCAACATGTACCGAGTGGGAGGTAAGAAATGTTTTACATTTTGAAGACACCCCCCACAACGTGATTGTTCGTTTCGACAGTAAGGTGGCTAGCTAGTCGCTAGCTGTCTGTTTGGTTAGCGGCTAACTAATGCTAGCTTTTCCTAGCATCTGTACGTGCTTCCACTCTAGCATGGAAGAACGTCAGATCTATTAAAACCACCAACAATGTAATGTGACTTAGCTAATGAGCAAATGTCAATAACTGCTACACTATGACTTAGTTTTTACTCAGTTGTAATAAGACAGACACACTCAGACATTCGGCATGGATACAATTCACCAAGCAGTGTTCATTTTTTACATTTTAACTTTAAAAAAGCTTGATATCCAGACTAGTTTTCAACCAAAATACGTTACCTCAGGGCGGGCTGCTGCCAAGTAGCATGAACCGGTTGTAAAAGTTGATACACCATTTAAAATAAATGCATCCTAGTGAAACAATACTTGGTATAATTGTATTTATAGTTGCAAATAAGAGAATGCACTCTTATGTGTCCATGTTTGGACGTTGGAATCTGTCCATATGGTAACCTATTGGAAGTTAACAAAATGCTAGTTAGCATGAACTGCTAACTTAGCCGATGGGAGGTCAGCCCCATCCAAAAAATGCTGGGGACGACTGTTGTAACGTTAGCTAGCTTTTTCGTTGGGGTGGGTTAATTACATTATTGCCTCCACCATATCACTTCACATTCAATGGATAGAATCAGCCGGGCTAGCTAACTTTGATTGCTAAGTTTTGTTAGCTTAGCCCGTAGCTTAGTATTTGTTAGCCGGTGTGGCTTATTTTTGAAATATTAGCAGATGGCGTGAAGTTGTTGGGTTATTATGAGAAATATCGATCCCTTATACCGTGTATCGGTAGTAACTACGAAACACCGGCTTGTGAAACACGTAGCGTTAACGAAGTTGGATAACACTAACTTGCTACCACTTTTTGTGTAGGTGAGACTTCCCGTTTCATTATTTACCGCTACTCTGCCCCTGGAAAACGTAGCATCTCCATACAATATAAAGGAGAATATATTATAATGTCGGGTGTGTTTATGCTACTGTTAACTGTTGCAGGTTTACTTTATTCGTTTGCTAACCCCGGGTTTCCAAACGTCACCATCATTATAGAGAGAAACGCCGGTAGACACGGCTTGCTGCTAGCTACATTGCTGCTAGCTAAACTGTCTCTCTCCCCCCGTTTCAGTGATCCCACGATATGGACAAGAGTGCCTGTACTCTACTGTGGATGTTGATTTGGCGAATCATCCTTTCAGTCTTTGCGATTATTGTCTTTATTATTTAATAACAATGTTAGGACTTGGTGTTCTGTCTTTAAGTTTAATTTAGTGGCGGTCGCGGTGGTTGAATTGACAGAGACAGTGCGACACTGACAGTCTTATTGCTGTGTAAGGTCTTGTCACTGTGGTCTATTTAGGTCACGCTGACTATTCTGCAACATGTGCTGGCTGCACTATATTATAGGCTTAATGTTCACAGCCGGTTCTTGTCGATTGTCATAAAAATAATGGCACAATGTTCATTTCTGTGTCATATGGATGCATGGTTTCTCTTTGCATTGTGATTTAAGTTTCAGTTTTCACGCAGGAAAAAGCACATAATGTATCGATAGTGACAGACTGGTAAAATAATCTGATATGTGTATTGTTATGAATCACCAGGTGTGGATTTTCAGACAATGGCTCGGCTTTTAATTTTGACTTCCTTCAAGGTTTTATGTAGGTATGACATAAACAAAAAAAACCATTGGTAGTTTTCAGTCTTTCTGAAGCGTAACTGTATATGTGTGTACATTGACATCTTGTATGCTTTGTTCCCTATCCCACCTTATGATCATCTCTGGTATGGTTCCTGATATCATTGTCCAGTGAACAAGTTCAATTACTGGCGTGAATGAAACCTATAGAGATGGACAGATACAAATGCTTGCTGAGAGCTGTTATTACAACCTTATATTATTTGTTGTTGTTTACAGTCAACAGGCATTCTGAGGAAACTTGGCATTATATAATAATAATAATACATTACATTTATATAGCGCTTTTTCTTTTATATGCATTGTTATCCATTCTGGGGAGAGCTGAACTGCTCAATCTCTTAGGCAAAATGGTTATTTTTGCCAGCTTTCTCGATCATGGAATGTCCACAGCAGGAGTGTGGTGTGGCAAATGAAATGTTACAGTGTAATGCTAAGTCTAGCCCATAACACATTGCAGTAAGCAACAAGCATGTGATTATGTAACGACTCAGAAGTTGTTTGACTGCACAAATATATAAATGTGTTTTGTTAAACATTACTTACAATATTGTTAGATGTCAGAATGGGTTTATATTCTATGTAGTAAAAGTGTTCATGGGTTTTGAGTTCCATAAGGATTCCTCTGGATGGTGCACGCAGGTCTGTGTGAGCATCGCCTGTATTACCAGTCCCCTAGAAGGCTGAGCACACAGTGTTCAGCCCGCATATAAGATCATTATCTTCCCCTGAGATTAGTCAAAGGGCTTCCTCCTCTTCATTCACCCTCAAGCACCGGCATACTGCGCCAGCCGCATACGTCCACAACAAACACTCACAGCTCCTCAGCAGACACTTGCTTTTTTTAGATCGTTTCTTCTACCATTAAATACATACATTAACATAAAACCAGCCGACACTCTGAAGTCCAGGGTGGATCATTGATCCACCTGCTCCACGTCCATTGATACACTAAGCTGGCGTCTGTGCTGGTGGAACAGGATCATTCTTTAATAAAACCCTCTAGGCGAAAGGTAGAGACGGAAGACTGGAGTATAAATGAGAAACCCCTCATGTTCACAATGTCTTTAGAGCTGAAATCAGACACATATGAGACTGCTGATAACCCTTTGGTGCTTCAGCCAGTGTTATGTAATGAGGTGCTGTTTTGTTCCTTCACTGTGAACAAGAAGGTGATTCTTTTCTGGTCGGGCTCCTCATCAGTGTGCTAAGTAGAGCAAGAAATCCTCTCCCTGTCTGAATCCGTCCTTCTCCATCTCCGCTTGTGATGATGCATCAGAAAGCCACTGATATCCTCCCGAGGCTCCCTGTCCCTGCTAGTGGGAGGACCAGATGGAGCTTGACGTGAAGCCACACTGCTGTGCAAGAACTGCATCAAACATTACAAGGAAGCGCTGAGTTGTTGGGTGAATAAATGGGAGGCTTGATTAATATTTTAAAGGCTGAAAACTCTCAGCTGTCAGCAAGTGTTACAATCTGGTAGCGTGAGCCCATGTTCATCATTAAGTCCAATTATATTTCCAAAAATCGAGCATTCAAAGTCATTTAGAAAGAACAATGACTGATTTTCTGCACCAATCACTTATTCATGTGCACCAAATTGCAAAAAGTTCCATGTTCCTGCAATGGTACATGAAGGTCAGGGCTCGACATTATAAATGGCCCGCTGGCCCGGAAGCACTATTTAGACACCCCGGGCAGCATAACGTACTTTCCACTTGCCCGCTCGGGCCACTAAAAATATTGCTTTAAAAAAAAAAATATTGTCCTGTGGTATTGGTATTTTGACTAGCAATTTAGTTAAATTGTTTCGTTTATCAACGCTACAACATAGCGTTTCGTGAGTCGGTTGTCGTTGTTGGGTGAAAAGCAAACAGCTGTTTGCTGCTGTGTGCAGCGCGAGCAGGCTCCCGTGAGCGGGAGCGCGCTCCTTCACTACAGACTATCGCGCCACCTCACCATTCGCCAAAATGTTTTTAATACCAGCGGTAACCGGCCAAGCGCCGGGCAAAAAAACAATCTTCAAATAAAAGAAAGTCACCGGAGGAGTTAAAGGAGAGTGACAGGGAGCATGAGAAGAAGAGGGAGAGAAAGTTTCAGCTTGATCGATGGAGTTGGCTTCTAGTGGTGCAGTGACGCGTCCTAAAACCCTTTTATAATCTATCGATTAGATTTATGATTCGAAAATTATAAAAGTAGGGTAGACATGTGGAGATTATCCGGCTGAACAAAACGTGCATTTATCAAACAGGTTTGTTTTCCACAGACCTTATTTCCAGCTATTTTCCAAAACCCTGTGGAGAAATCCCATTGCTTTTTGTCGAGGGAACCAGCAGCTTACTTCCTGGTTTTATGATGCGTCACTGGCTGCACCTCTCAATATGATGCCAATATAAACAAGGTCTTCTGTCGGCTCTGTACATCAATGCCGACCTATGCTGACAAGTAAGTGAAGAGTAGAAAATATAAAGGTATTGGCTAGAGGGGAAATGTCCCAGCAGTTTAGGATAATGAAGGATCTAATCTAATCTATTACATAGCCATTACATTTCTAACTCCTAATGACAGGAAGGCAGAAAGTGCATTATACAAATAATAATACTCATAATAATAGCAGACATTTTTTAACAATGACCACAATATCATTATTTTAATAAACCAAATATGAACAATTGAGGGAAATGAGGAAGAACTGATGATTCAAATGTTGTAGTACTAGTAGTAATGTAGTTAGTGCATCAATTACTATAGCGACAAATGTGTTAATTTTCCTCATTATTAGTCGATGTTTTGGACGAATGCTCCGGGCCAGTGGTTACAATGGTGGGGCCAGTGACAATACAATTCCACCGGACCAGAGGGCCAGTGGCTTTTTACCCTTAATGTCTACCCCTGAAGGTGTTACATGGCTAATTCAACGCGCTTTTTTAAATATATTTGTATAGGGGCATTGTGGCTAATATGTGTCTTGACTACATTTTTCATTTAAATAGAATATATTTGCTTAGTAAATATATGTACATTTGTGTTAAAGGTCACCTATCATGCAACATCCACTTGTGTCATGTCTCTTCTACATAAACTCTGTGTAAAGAGATTCTGAAAGTTTCAGGAAAAAATATTCTCTCTCTTTTTGTCCTGATCCATTTCTATTAGGGATGCACGATAATTATCGGCCCGATAATTATCGGTCCGATATTAGGAATTATGAC